GAGAAAGATGGAAGAAACATTTGAAAAGTCCATAGAAAAGCAGATGTATATATTAAACACATAAATAATAGTAACAATAACATGTCAGAGCTCCAAGCCTCTGCTTTTGTGAAAAATGATTTCAAACTGTAGGCACTGTCAAATAGATGGCTATATCTCCTACACTCCTCAGAGTTCACAAACTGAAAGAAATGTGGGAGAAGCTTAAAAGAAAAGGAAATGTTTGTTCCATGCTATGGTCATTTATTTTAGGCCTCATCTTGTCTTGAATTGTTTGAAAAACTCTCTCTTGCTTTGAGGAGACTCCTGTATGTGAGTTCTTTTTTGGGGGAATGCAGGTCCTGGTCTTGCATTCATTGCATACCCCAAGGCTGTTACTATGATGCCTCTGTCTCCGCTTTGGGCCGGCCTCTTCTTCCTGATGCTCATCTTCCTCGGTCTGGACAGTCAGGTGAGAATTATGGAGAAAGTTCGCTCACATAATAAATGTAAAGGTTTATAAAGATGTGCAAGTAAAGATACATAAAGGGATAGGATGAGGATCAAATGAATCCGTTTTTACTATGATGATGTATTGACATTGACCTACACTTTGAAATACGTTCAGTTGGTTTGAATTAAGTGAACCCTAAATAATGCTTTGAGTCATTGAGTCTTTGGAACATCAATGCTTACAATACTGATGAAAGACTTTTTGTGTGTATATATAATATGCGCTAATAACTATGATGTTGAATTTGTAGCCAATACAATAACTTGTATTAAATGTGTGATAGTTTTGTCTAGTCATCTATCTTATAACTAATCCATGCTGTTTCCATTGAGACAATAATGTTATGCCCTTTTTTTTTTTTGCAGTTCGTGTGTGTGGAGAGTTTAGTGACAGCTGTGGTGGACATGTACCCAGATACCTTCAGGAGAGGCTATCGCAGAGAGTATCTGATCCTGGGCATGTCCATAGTCTCCTTCCTCGTAGGACTTATCATGTGTATGGAAGTAAGGCTCTGTAAACACATATGAAAATCTACCTACAGTAATATAAATATCAAATGGACTGTCAAAGTTCTTTTTTATCAGGTTTCAGATTTCTTTATATGTAGTCGTCGTCGTCATCATCATCATCATCATCATCATCATCATCATCATCATCATCATCATCATCATCATCATCATCATCATCATCATCATCATCATCATCATCAGCAATTCTCACTAGTATCATTGTCCATATTTTACGGTGTATTTTCTGTTTTGCTTTTTTTACATTTTTAATTTGTTGTCAGCTTTAATTCACGGGAATTTCATTAGGATCACTGTAGATGTTTTATCTTGTTCTGTTTTTATTTGTAATATTATTTAATATTGTTGTTATGTAACATCTACAGTGATCCTAATGAAATTCCCGTGAATTAAAGCTGACAACANACAACCGATTATGACCGAGAAATGATATCATGAAAGTTACGGTGCTTATTAAGCATTTTAAAACGTATGTGGTAAGTTGCCAAAGTGCTTTGTTTTGAACGTTCATCAGTATTATAATCAAAAAGAGAAATATGAACGTTAGTTTTTACTGAAATTATCAAATAATGTCAACATTTCACTGAGCTGTGTGGGGTTTGTTCAACTTTTAAAATATGTTTGAATGGTGATATACACAGTGATATATGTTAAAGACTGTCGTTTATAATAAATACATTTTTATTGATTTTTAAGATCTTTTCATAGTTCATACAATCATACGTATTGGGATCATTTGTATTAATGTGGACCGGAGGGAGAGGGTGACGAGGATAAGTTTCACTTTCCTTTTTTATTTCAATTACAACTTTGGTCATGAAGAATATGTTTCTCTGTTTTCCACATTCATAAAGCATAAAGCAAAACCATCAGAGCACGGTGCAGAGTCTTTAGATGAGTTGACAGTAGTCCCTCCTTCTTATTAAACATCCATGTTGTAGTCCGCTGTATAGAAAACTGTAGTTTCCGCAGTTTCTCCACAGCAGCAGACGCACATTCATGACGTCCGCTGGCGCATATAAACACGTCGGATAGTGAAAGTGCATTCGGATTCTCTAAACACCGCAGTCTCTTCTCCTAAGTCCTTTAGAATTCTCCTATCCACTATCCCTTAACCCTGTGACGTTTCACTCAGAGGTCAAGGAATAGGAGATAGGGTTAGAACTTAGGAGCTGATTTTTTGATTATCCGACCGCAACCATGGTTTAACCTGGGCTGCATTCCCCTGCCCACTTGTGTTTTGCATGGACAGAGAGAGGGAAGATCAATATTCTGTTGACCGCAATTCTTTACCGCAATTTCTACTTACTATCACAATTACTGGGACTTTTGTTTGGACTGCCTACAGCCGCGATAAGGACCTTTGCCCCACTTAAGGGCCATATTTTCCATGAAACCAATTAAGGAATCAGAACAAACATACCGGCAGTGGCTGGCATTATCCTAGTTTTACATTAAGTTGAAGAATGGTAGTTTAATATCTCCGTAAAAGAAGACTTGGTTCCTCTTTGCCTCCCTATTTACCATAGGAAATGAAAACTAACACATTTTTAACTTCACCTTTTAGACACTAGGAAAACATTTGTTATCATATGAGTAATTAATATTGTATTCCAATTCTGCAGATAACTTCTGCGTATTATTACACATTGGCTTATTAGCGTCCAGTAGTGTCTACAGTATGATTCAATAATACAAATGTGGCATCAGTATACTCAGTGCTTGTTAGCGTTTCGATACTATATTTGCTTAAGACTCACTGCTGCAATTTTTTAAATAGTTTTCCGTTTTTTCTCGATATATCGCAAGAGCCCGATAGAATCGCTAAATCCCAAAATGCAAAAATCTATCTTTTTAGGTCTCAAGTAATCTGTTTGTGCTTCGGACAAATCAGCCTCCTGTGAGAAGCTACTGGCAGCAACAGGAATGCTTACGTTTTTTAAACATTTGTATTATGTTTCTCATGAAAACTACCCTTCTTCGTCCCCCTTGGGTGTTTGTTTTCTTCAAGCTTCACACCAACCGTGACACAAAACATCAACAACACGCTCACCATAGACGCCTCGAATCATGACTGGATATACTCACAATTGCTCAATCGGGCATGACACAGATTGAGTGAACTAGCATGTTAAGGTCATTGGGTGCGAATGATTCGGACATTTTCTTTCTCACATAGAGTTCCTTGGGGTTACTTCTAGGTATTTTTATTATTCAAGGTTGCTTTACATGTGTGAAAGAGGATTAAGTGACTTTTGGAGTTCATATGGTATCAGATCAAGGAAGCCAATAGCTTAGTATTTGGAAAATGTAATGTGGTTTACCTGTTTACTTCAATTCAAATCCTACATTTATTTCATTCAAACACTGTTAGAAAAGTACAACGATAAACAATGGAGATATGTGCAATAGGACAGTCCGAATAGGTATCAGAGGCTTTATAATAGGAACCTAAACAACAGAAATGATTTACACTATATATTACTAACACATGTATTAAACAGACACATTAACAAGCTAAAAAACACCTAACACTAACCAAAAACCCTAAAATTAATCTACTAAAATGTCCCAATTAATCAGTCTTAACGTTGGTTTAATATAGACCTCATATCATGACCACATACATATGAAAGGTAAAAAATAATGGTACGAATTGAATGCATTTCAGAGTAATGTACTATACTTGAAATACTTGATACAGTATACCAAGGCAACCTTACACTCGACCAACGATGAATAACTCTTGCTGCACGCTAAACAGAAATGATTTACACTATATATTACTAACACATCTGGAATGGAAAGTTAATGTATTAAACAGACACATTAACCAAGCTAGAAAACACCTAACACTAACCAAAAACCCTACAACTAATCTACTAAAATGTCCCAAACATTTAATTCATTTTGAGTCATTTCATTTTAGTGTGCCATGTACTATACTAGAAATACGTTAACACTTTATATTAAGGTACACAAATTCACCATCAACTAGTTGTTAATTATCATGCATATTAGCAGTATATTGGCCCGTTTATTTGTCATTATAAAACACTTATTAATGCCTTATTCTACATGATCGTATTCTACAACTAATAAGCCATTAGTTGAGAGTTTTTCCTCAATAACCCTTTATTAGTGCTTATTTATTGCAAGTAAGGAAATTGTTGTACATGAGTTTTTGTCTTAATATGCTCTGCTCAATATGGGCCTAATAAGGCAGTAGCCTAGTACCACAAGAATAGTAATTATCCCATAGTAACACTTAACCATATTATGCTCTATTCTTATGTAACAAGACATGAAACTATGTGTTAATTGTGTCTAAATAAAAAATGTTTAGGTATTTCTATCTAAGAATATGTTTTGGGGTATTGACAGCTCAGCTTCCAATAGGTGATATTTACCTGTATGTTTCATATTTGCACATTTATATTTTTGTAAAATGTGTACCGAAGGTTAGACAGGAAACCGGGTACAGGAAGTAGGAGAAAGTGAACTGAATAGCATGGCAGTACACTGCTTCTAATTTTCCTATGCAACCTGAATCGTAAAAGGATCAAGTCTGTCAGAAAGCAGAGACTTTAAGTGTAAGTGTAAGCCTTACACTTACACTGTAAGGATCGGTAACATGTATTGTGTTTATGTGATGACATCTGGAGTTAAAAGTCAATGAGAAAATGCGTTAGCATACACGGTAGCGTTAGCATACACGCTAGCGTTAGCCATACTAGCCTGTATACATGCTTATTGCACAGCTAGCATTAGCTATATTTACCTTGTTTACACTTTGCGGTCCTATGTGTTAATCTGTGTATGTTACACTTGCATGTATGAGATCATTAAGTGCCTTGTAACTTCTTTTTTTATAGTTTCACTCCGTTTGAATGTCAATGGACTGCAAATAAGTCAATAAAGGAGCATGGCTGCTCATTCCCTGGCTCTCAAAAGAGTTTGGCTGGCTGTTTAATCTATGTTCACACTGAGACAGTACAACACATAGAGAGAACAGTACACCTATTGTGTAAGTACATACAAGCAGGTCACACAGTATGATCACAAATACACAACATCTGTTCAAAATCAGTTTTTATTAAAAAGTACAGGCTGCATATGTGTTCTCAGCCTTGGAGAAACTTGACATGTTTTGGTATGTGTCTGAACCTCTCTATAGTGGTTCATTAATAAAACAGATATTTCAACGTGAGCCTACTTTGTTCATGTGCTGTTGAGGTCAATTTCAGTAGTTGTGTGCTATAATGTATTTAGAAAGTGTGAAGAGGAGGCAACTTTAGAATAGGGAACCTGTTCAGGTCAATTAGAGTCAAATTACTAGCTTATTTGTTATGAACAAGACTTCACTTTAAAATAGGGAACATGTTCTTAGATAAATACCTAATTTTGAGTTATTTATCACTTATAGTTTTGTGTCTTGTTACATAAGAATAGATCATATTTGTTAAAGGTCCCATTTCATGGCCATTGTTGAGGTCTACTAGAATAGATTTATATTGTGCAATTTTCCAAAATCACTTTGGTTTCTCATACAGCATCTCTGTAAACTACGTGTATTCACTTAATTTCACTCTCTGCCTTTAAAGACT